GSMAAWTTKGKWAAAAAAAAAATACTGACAAAGACCACAAAATTTACATATTAATCGTTTTCATTCCCATGAGATTCAAAAGATAAAAGACTTGCGACCATGTTGGAGGAACGAACAATAGATTACTAATGAGAACTCATTTGTTCCTCCAAGATTATTTTTAAATAATCAAAAAATAAAATAAAATAAAATAAAATAAAATATTGATATTGTTATTAATATTACTACTATCAAATTTTCAGTATCAATTTTATATTGTTATTCTGTAGATCAATGTATTGCTTTGCTTAGTGCTGAATATTCCTCTGGGATTGATTTATCACAAACTTCTCCACCCAAAAAGAACCCCCCCTGCAATCCGCCACCTTGTTGGTTTAGTTTTAGGATTATGGATTGGATGGGTTTGTATTGATAGGTGGGTGCAAGATGGAACTTACATGTAATGATTTATACCTTTCATCCAATTGTTCATCCACTTTCATATATTCACCCATTCATCTAATCAATGACTCATTCATTTTTCTTAGTCATTTAGATTAATTGTCCATTTTGATTTCTAAACCTTTATCAATTCATAATATATTTTAATCCAAATATCCATTGTATTATTTGTAAGGTAAGTCTACAAAAAAAAATTATTCAAAAAAAATTATTATTTACAGGGAAATCTACATATTGATTGCAATAACATCACTGAGCTATGTACTGAACTACATCATTCGTCCAACAATAGTCCACAAGTTAGTATATTTYTTTGAATATAGAGTGCAAACACTAAACCCATGATTAACTTTAGTAAATAAATTAGAGAGTGCTAAATTTGTACTGAATTATGCAAATTTCCCAGATGTTTTCTACTATCTAATCYACCTCTATATTGTKTGGTTTCGTTAGCACTTTTCACGCTTTCAGTGTTTTCATTCTTAGGCACATGTAAATTTTTTTTGGCAAATCTTTAAGTGTACCTAACCTGTATTTTAAATGTTATGCATTTTTATTTTCAGAGTCATCTTCTTAGTTTCATTTGGCCTTCTAATTGTGGCTCAAACAATTCGCATGGTACAGAATTATGGAGAAAATATCTTTGATTAYACAGGGTAGGAATTTGTGACCTAAATGTTACTTGATCTCCTYCACAGYCTATGGTATTTTGTTGGGATTCCTGTCCCTCCTTAAAGAATACTGGGAGGGACGAAAGGGTAGATTGTGAAGAAGTCTAAATGTAGGTTGGCTTGTTTTTATGCAGAGTTCTCAGTAGAAGCCTGCAGCTAGTGAAAATTGCCAGTAATATATAGCTTAGTTATCACCGGCTACTTACGAGTTTATTCGCAAATTATTAGGCTATATTTTTCCTATTTTGACAGGTACTTTTCCTATTTTGAAGTCTACTTTTATTTTAATATAATAAATAATATTATTAATAATTAATAATATTATATTTAATATTTCAGGAGACTTATGGTGCTTATTCAAAGATTCACTTTTGTTGCATATTGCTTTCATGATGGTAAGTTGTTCATTCTCAATTTATTATTATAAATAAAACTATTAATAATTCCCAATAACGATTTTTGATATTTCAAAAGGCATGGCAAGGGACTCAAAGGAGTTGAATGATTGGCAAAGAACACAATGCCTCAAGTAAGATATAAATGTGCAAGCGCAACAAGTAGGATTAAAAATTCCCAAAAATTTTCCAACCTTGYAATTTTGCACGAAAAAATAAATAAAAAACAAAAATTTCTCTTAAAAAAATGATTGAGTTGCACTTGTATGATCCACTTTGACCAGCATTAATGTGTGTTGAAAATTGAATACCAATATCTAATTCATGGTACTAACTTCTTTCTCTTTCAGAAAACTTCCATCACCATTGGAATATTTTGGATACATGTTTCACTTCAGCTCTTTTCTCGTCGGWCCGTCTTACACATATCGCGAATACATCGACTTCATTGAAGGAAAAGACATGCAAAGAGCTCTCKCAGACCCCAAGGTAGGCGGGCATGCTTCTTTTTAAAATTCTTGCTATTTCTCGCATTTATGTATTGAAAATTATCCTCAGACTTACCTTAATGGTTTGCTTTGCTCGAAACAAATCAGCCTCTGCATTTTTTTCGTAATTACAGAAAAAATATTCTAGTTTTTACTCCGAAATACTTGTCCACACACTTCGTGTTGGACACTTCACCGTGCAAAGGTGCAATGACAAGACTGCATTGAAAATCCTTGATTGCTATTGGCTGAACGCGGAAAGGCGCGAAATGCCTTGGTGCGCGGACGCGCACACTAAATAAGAATATTTATTATCATATGACCCGTATTTCGGCCCTACGCGCGCTCTCACTGAAACCTTTGGAAAATGGTCACGTGATGGGTCCGTACGCCTTTTCGCGACAGGTCCGTACAAACCCGTATTTTCCCGGCTTGAAGTTCCGCGCGCTTTTATTTATTTTTTTACATTAAAAAACGCTGTCATATGATAAAATGCTTATTGACTGAGTTAGGTCGGGCCGTACGGGAAAATATTTGGCTCTCGGTCATTTGTACGGACCTCGCTGCGCTCGGTCCGTACGGCATAACCTCGAGCCAAATATTTTCCCGTACGGCCCTCCCACTCAGTCAATAAGTACATA